CAGCTGAATTGCGGAGAAGAGGACAGACTCCTGGATCTGGATATACTCATCCTCTTCAAGATCCAGTTCTTCTATTGCTGCTGATACTGGGACATAGGGTAGTGTATTGACTGTAGTAAGATTTTTGTAGAAAGTAACGGTGTTACCTTCTATCCTTACTCCTCCTTGCTGTTAAATCTGGCTTTTAAATACGCTTGTAAGACAACTATATGTATTTCTTTGTTGCTGAATAGCTTAGTAAGATTTGTAGGGACGTCAGACGATACTATTGTCTAGACTAAATACATATAGTAAGCTTTTAGGGACGTCAGACGATACTATTGTCAATATTGTGGTATTTGTAGGTCAAAGAAAAATCTTATTAGGTCGCACATCGTTGCCAGTCATAAGGTTCATCCATTCACCTTTTCAATGGTTTTGCATCATTTTATTCTAGATACTTTTTATTCATTTTGATATTTTAATGAAACTAGCTTATCATGAAAGAAACATGAGTTTCAATTAGGCTTCAGATGCTTTATATGTTGTGTTTATGCAATAACACCATTTTTATCTTTTTCCGGGTATATTGTGCCACTTCTTTTCAATCTATGGGAATTGTTTTGCCTATATTTTTTAACCTCTTTGAATTGACTAAATGGAATAATGTAAGTAATCCTACCATCTTTAGCTTTTCTTAAGTGTCTCATCTATAATATGTTCCTTTTTGTTTTTTCAAATTTATTTAGTTTGAATTGGAAGAGACACAATCTGATGAAGTTCAAGGCATAAACAAGGTGGACTGTGTAATGCAACATGCATGCCAGGAGTGTGGTGCATCCTTCCGCAAACCAGCACATATGAAGCAGCATATGCTGAGCCACTGCATTGAGGTTTCTGCCACAATCCCTTGAATTGAAATGATGTGAAGAGATTCATTTTCATCTTAGATCATCATTAACCTCTCTTATCTCCTTAAAATTGTAGTTTTGGACTCATTGGATTTGCTTGGTATACCTTGCTGGTCAATTGAAAATGTAACTAGCATTCTTGCTTGATTCTTTGAGTTTTTTGCAAATTCGCTATGACTTCAATTTTTTTTATTTTTTTGTCCCTCCATATTCTAGGACTTTGCTTAAGTTATTTAAACAAAGTTTAATTCTGATTGGGCCAACAGACTGCCTTAATCTTCTACCTTTGATGAATAATATGTTCCATCTAACCAGGATGCACCTTGTTGTTGAGATACATTCAAAACATTATTCATAGAGAGTTTGCTTATGTCCATTCACTTTTAGCCACCTGCTTTTGGTGTACTTTTTAAATTTTTGTGGTAGAAACAAACAGATGGATGAGTTGAGATATTAACCATCTTCTGAATGTTGCATTTGTTCTTGTAGAAGGAACTTTGATCGTATTAAGAAAATAACAAATTTTGACCAGATTGCCATGAGTGTTTTTCATTTGACAAATTGGTCAATTTAGGGCCTATTCAAAAATATAAATTTAGTTATTGATGATAATATACTTATGTGAGTACAATACTTAAAAATGATGAGAATGAGATGTTGATAAATTCTTGTAAATTCATGTTTCAGTTAAGAGGAAGAACAGCATAGTAGGTTAACTAAACAGAGGAACTGCAATTATTTGTTAGATGATTCTAAGTTGTCTAAACTCTAAAGGAAAATGATTTTGCAGGTATAAGAGTTGGGCTATTGAAACATGTTTGATTTTGTGTGAAGCACTGGATCCCATGCGACAAACTCCAAAATGCAAAGAGGCTCCATAGAATCTTGAATGGACTAGTATCAGGATGGAGGACCTCCTGTGAAGCTCCATCAAGAAAGCCTCAATCAGGCATTTTAATGAGGTCTGTTTAACTGTTTTACTTTATCTGTTGAGTTTGGTATTTTTGATATCAAAACTTGTTAGAAGTTACACCACTGACTTTTTCTTGATGCTTAAATGGCCTTGTGATGTTACTAAGACGCTCTCCAAATTGCCGGCAAGCTACTGAATTGGCCATAATTTTTGAGAGTCATGTGATGGTTGAGACCTTGTGAAGATGACCTGCCAGCATGTTTTCTTGTCTTTTAGAAAGGCATCCAAATTTGGGAAATCTTTTTTTCTGTTTAATCCATTTATTTTGCTTCCTGAAATTAACGAACTACACAACCACATGAAGATATTCTTACTAACATGCAATTGTTATCTCTTTTTATATATATTCTTTGTTCTAATAATTATTTTTTTGCTATAACAAGTGACTTGCTATTTAAAGATCAGAATGAGAAAAAGTTGCCTACATGTTAGAATTTGGATTAGGAAGTTTCTTTCCAGGTTCTTATTATAGCTATGCAATTTTATTGTTAGTTAATGCTCTGCCATTCTCACTTCTGTTTGGATATGTGGTCTTGGTGCTGATTGTCTTGGCCTTGGCTGATTTCATTGTTTGTTATTCTTCTCATTTTGGCACAGAGACCTTTTTCCTGCCCGGTGGATGATTGCCATGCTAGTTATAGAAGAAAGGACCAATTGACTCGCCACTCATTGACGCACCAAGGAGGACTTTTCACTTTCCCTGTTAGCAATTGCAATTGCAAATTTGGAATAAAGGCTGACATGAAAAGGCACATGAGAGAAATTCATGAAGATGATTCTTCTCGCGAAGGTCAAAAGCAATATGTTTGCCATGAACCTGGATGTGGGAAGACATTCAAGTATCCCTCAAAGTTGAAGCATGAAGATACACATGGTAAATCACTTTGCTTTAGGTTCTTGATCCTTACAGTTTTGTAGGCCTAGAGAAGCAGGCTCCCCGCGACTTGCTCTTTTTCTCTTCGCTCCCTTTTCTCTCTTACAATGATATGTTATGTACAGTTACGGATCTCGATATTACGACATTTTCATGCAAATTGTACAAAAACAATCAGCAAGTCTTTTTATTCACTTCAGGTATCTCATTTGTCATGTTAGGGTATATGTTTGGTTTTGAATATACATAATGTTTATATTAAGTGGATAAAATCTGCATAATTCTCCAATTTCCTTTGTTGCATATGCTGTAATTTGTTAGGATTTATTTAGCCCAAGCAAATTTAAGATATTATTTTATCAGGTCACATTCGCTTTCAGATATACTTGATTTTTTCTCATTGTAATATCATCATATGTAAAACTAATTCCCTTTTTTTAACTCTGTTAACTAACTAAGTTATTTGAGAATCTGGTTGTTTGAGAACATTCACAAGTGCAGAATGCCTTAAAGCTCATATCAGGACTTGCCACCAACATGTTGACTGTGAGGTCTGTGGGACAAAACAACTGAGGAAGAACATGAAGCGACATGAACGCAAACATGAAATGAATGAGATGACTGACAGGACCAAATGCAATATCAAAGGCTGTGAATGCACATTTTCAAATGTATGACTTAGTATATATGTTTATCTTGTTCTTTACCTTTAAATGGTTTAATCATGGTTTAGTACAAAAAAAATGGTGTATCCATACTGAAATCGATTGTATTAAGGTAAATATTAAAAAGAACTAGCACCATTAAATTCAGTTAAATCTAATCACTGACTCATGCTTAAAAAGAACAACTGAGGCTTCTATATTATTGTACAACACTATAGGCTGTCTCACTTCTTTCAAATTAAGGCCATTGTAGGAAGTAGCGACCAACCCTATATCCTAAAGATTTATGCCAATCAAAAATCATACGACTAACTGGGAGTGAGTGAATGTTGCTTGCATGCATATTGAATGACAAACAGTATCTTAGTAGAATAATAAGAACTAAAAGCCAATAATAGGGCACTAATTGTAAATGAGAAATTTCTTAAGTGTATGTGAGCACAGTCAAATGTCCTTTCATATGTCATCTTACATCCAATTATTAGGTGTGGTATCTATGTCCAAAATTTATATAATATTATCTTTAATTTTTTTTATGAGAATTCTCAGTAGCAGGATGGAATTAATGGCCTCAGACATTAATATCCAATTCAAATAGTCAGCCAACATCTTGAGAGGGTTTGAATCTACAGGTAAATGACTCACAAAGCAAAAACAAGATGTTCAGCATGGTTGATTTGGGTAGTGAAAATAATAAGGTCTTCAAGAATGAATATCTAATTTCAATAGCCAGTCAACACCTATGAGTCTAAATCCACAGGTCAGTGATTCTCAGAGCAACAACAGGATATTAAGTCTGGTTGATTTGGGTACTGAAGATATAACACAGGAAAGAAATAAATACCAGATGCAAATCATCATTATTGAGCTCTATGCCTCTACCACAGGCCAAATTCAAATGCGGATCCAATCCAAACTGCAGTTAAAACCATCAGAAATCCAACATTTCCAAAGGAAGTATGCCATAATAGTATTTTAAGTCATAAAGAATATAGAAATATTCAAATTCTTGCTAGTCTGTTTGCATGTTAGAAACACAGCTAAATAAGAAGAACTGGTATTCCTGCTAATAGTATTTGGATAATTCAATAGACAGCGAATAACCGGCTGTTTGATCCAGTGTGTATACAGGAATCCACTAGCTAAACAAAAAACTTGGATAAATATTAATTTCAGACTCTCTCAAGATTCACTGAATCAAATACTTTATGGTCATCGGTTATAGCCACCTCGACCATGCAGGTTTAGTATGCCCAACAAAAACCAACTCTTCTGGATTTATCTGATGGATTAAGTATCAATCACGACACCTGCAGAAGCAATCATCCAAGCTGACTGACTTAAAAACAAATAATGATCTACATGTTTTTTATGTTTGCTTAATTTTTTTTTTTTATGTTTCAAGAATCTCAGTAACATGCCCCATCTTGGCTTGACATAAGAATCACTAAGATCAAGATTCAACCTTATACCTCAACATCATTTTTAGCATGAACTCCACAAACATATTTTAGCCTGGTAATTGCAATATGCAAATGCTCTATGCTGGTCATCATCAAGTAACTTTGTGTTATAACTTTGATCATTATACAAGGAAGATGATACATTTATAAGTTTTGGTTCAAAAAGAATATTCAGACCCATAAAAGGGAAGACTACAAATAAACAGGTAAGCAACATAATGCAAGCCTAAAACAGAACTTCAGTTTTATCAAATCAAAGTAAATTACTGCAACAGACTTGTGCAACCAAATGGACTAGCTCCTACAAATATAATATAATTATTGACTCTTGAGGACAAAAAAGAGCCAATTAAGTACCACAGTCAAACATTTACATGGAACAGACGTAAGGTATTAATACAAAATGGTGACAAACTCTAAACTTTGAACCAACCATTCTTTTGTATAAGCTTAAGCTGAGAGATTCAGGTTATTCTAGAGGAAAATAATAAAGAAAAGGCAAAATGCTTTCAGAAAAGAGTAGGAAGGATCCAACTAACATGTATTACCATGCGGTTCATTCTTTCATGTTGCCGGCTTCTTCACTCTCCTCGTCTTCACTGAGATCAAGATCAGCAAGCAACTCTTCCAATGGGATCGAAGGAACATCCTCCCCATCAGCCGCAGATGCCATCTCTGATGGCTGATATTCTTTGTTACGATACAAAGATATATTGAACCTCATTTCAGGATTCTCCTCCAAGTCCCTCAAGAATTCCTCGTACTCAGTATTCCTCTTCTCCTCATCGGCTCTGCCCTTGGAGGTAGTATCCACATCCATGTTCAGGCTCTTCAGCTTCCAAGACCTTGCCTTTCCACGATTCTTTGTCCGTTTCTCCTGGTAGCTCTTCCTCACCAGAAGAGCCTCGGGCAGAATAAGACCTTTATGCTGCTCGATCTCAAAGTCGTTACTGTTCGCTGCATACAGATCGTAGCCGAGGGCATAATCCCCCGGATTCAAGAGATGACCGAGGTGGGTTTTTATGGTAAACATTGTATCGTTCTTCCCAAAATCCGCCACACGCGCAACCTGTGCATGGGCCAGCATGTACCGGAAGCCACCGACGGAAACCTCAGCGGACTCCACCTCGACATCGAGAACGATGTATTCCACGAGCTGTCGGCCGGTGAGCAGTGCCTTGAAGGGAGCCCTCCAGTACTGGTTAGCGTCGAGGAAGGCGCTCCGAAGGGTGAACGGGTCGAGCAGGGCAATGGAATTGGTGACCTTGGTGCAGAGGACTAGAGGGCCAAGATTGCCGAGGGCGTTCGCAAGCTTGGGCGGGAGGCAGATGAGGTCCTCGCGGCACACGGGACAGATCTCGACGGAGAAGGTATGCTTGTAGTTGTAGAGGTTGCTCTTGGGGTCGTGGGAGACGAGTTGCTTGTCGGAGCGGGATCGAACGGGGGTCACGCCGGTAATGAAGTCCACGAACTTGAGGGCGTGGCTTCGGGAGCCAAAGAAGAAGTCGAGGCCGTGGTCGGTCTCCCCGATGCGTAGGGCGCGGGTGGCGGCGCTATGGCGGAGGATGAGCTGCTCGAGGTAGAAGAAGGTGCGGCGGTGAGAGACGTGCTGGCGGAGCTGGACGGCGGCGGACCATTGGTCAGGGTTGGCCTGAGACCTGGAGCAGGCGTCGCAGAGACGGTCGTGGACGGTGAGTTCGACGAGGTGGGACTGCTCGAGGATGGCGCCATGGAGGGCCTCGGCCTGGACGCGGAGGCGGAGGCGGAGGCGCTTGGAGTGGGGCTCGGTCCAGATGAACTCGGCGTGGACGAGGCGGACGCGTCGAAGGGGGAGGCGGAGGCGGCGGAGGCAGAAGGCGAGCAGCTCCTTGGACTCCGGTTCCAGGCCACGGAGCCAGGTGCGCGGCGGCTGTAGGTAGGAGCGGCACTCGGGGCAGTGGACCACGGCGGCGTGGCGGGTGAGACCCTCGGTGATGTCCACCCTGGAGCGCAGGCAGCCCACGCACATGTTAGCCGGGTTGGGCGGCATCGCCACCCCGCAGATGCAGCACAGCACCGTGCCCACCGTCTGTGACGGCACGAACATGCCCGACGCCGACAGATCCGACATATCCTCGATGCCGACGCCCTCCTCCTCTTCCTCTTCCTCTTCGATCGATTGACTGAATGGATAAATGGGACGGAATATATACGCGGGATTAGGGTTCTGGGGCGGTGCGGCAAGCTAAACGTCGGTGACGAGCCGGCCCGCTAATACGGCCCACGGTCCAAACTGGTCCCCGTCACACGGCCCACTAATGCGGCCCACGGTGCGACAAACTGTTCCACGGGCCAATCTAATATGCACTTATCCGCTACTACTTTGAAACAACTTTATCTTTTTACCCCTGGATAATTAAGTTATTATTTTTTCATCCAAAACAGTGACTTTTAGACCTATATAATTAATTTTATCACCAGTGGTTTAACTTTATCACCTATATAAAAAAAATAAAAATAAAAAAATAAAATGATAAACTATTCGGATAGTGAATAAATAAGATGAAAATATCAGGGTATTTTGATGAGTCCTTATATATGAAATTTTTACCACATGTTGTGAACCTAGAAGCTCAAATGTAAAGAACATTGCATAGATTTATCATGTTTTGGTGGAAAATAGAAAATTCATAAATTGTTTAGATGTTGAATGAACTGAAAAAATATTAAAAAATTAAATTAGAAAAACTATAATAGATGTCCATTTGGGTGCAATTCAAAACTATAATAGATGTCCATGTATATAATATATTTTATTTTTATTTAACCCCAAAAATAATGTATTGTATGCCAAGAGTTGAATTTCCTATACCAAATATTTACTATAAGTTGTCCAACTGAATTATTCAGAAGCTCAAATATTAAAAAAATATTATATCGATCCATCATATTTTAAAAAAATGAAAAATATGGAGAAAAAAAAAATCATAGATTGTCCAAACATGGAATAAATCACAAAAATATCAGAAAATTTTAAATTAGAAAAATTATAATAATGTCCATTTGGATGTAATTCAAAATTTTCATTAAAAAATATATTATATTTTAATTTAACCCTAAAAATAGTGTCTTGCATACTAGCAATTAAATTTTCTTGACCAAATTTTTACTAATGGTTGCAGACCTATTTTGAAGCTCAAATATTAAAAAATATTACATTTATCCATCATATTTTGATAGTAATAGAAAAACATGGAGAAAATAAAAAAAATCACAAACTTTTCAGATATTAAATAAATATAAAATTACCTAAATTAGAAAAACAAAGATAGATATCTATCTAATTCGAATCGTTTATGAAAAATTCAATTCGTGTTGACTAGTCCGTTTATATGATACACTATTTTTGATTTGATCCTAAAAATAGTATCTTGGGATAATATTATAGGTTATGGGCCTATTTAAAGACTCAAATGTCAGCAAAATATTATAGGTGAAAGTAAAAAATAAATAGAAAAATAGGAAAACAATAAATTGTTTGGTTGCTGAATAAATCAGAAAATATTGAAACAATTCTCAAAATCAGAAGAAAAAAAAAACAATTCATATGTTAGATATCATATTGTTTAATTGACTGCACACTGCCTCTACTGTTCTTGCAAAGATCCTTAAAATTGATTTTGCATGTTTTGGGAATTGAAATGTGAAACAAAAACAAAAACAAAAAACAAAAGCAATTTCCGCGTCCTGATCTCAGTGTGAGAAACCTTATCCGGAGGCCAGCCAATGGCGGGCGTCCCAACCATGCATTTGGACCACCACGCTATCCACACTCCCTTTTTCTCTGGATTCCTGTCGACACGAAAAGGATCCGATTTCTACTACTACTGCACCACCGACCGCGCGATCGTACGATGGCCCATTCCCTCCCGCTGCTTCCCCGACCGACTTCTCCTCCTTCGTCCCCCGCGACGCAGCGAGTCCCTCGGCGTCAGCATCTCGCAGAACCACAATGCGGCGACGGAGCCGTCCGCTTCCACCGCAGACGGTAGCACTTTCTCCTCTTTCCTTGCTTCGATTGATGTGGATAAGGCGGGTGTTAATTAGCTACCGTCCAATGTGATTCCAGGCAGCTCATCTACGGCCTGGTCGCCGTCGGAGTCGCTTATTCGGTGGCCCCACAAGGCGCTCACGCGGTGAAGCGGCGTCCTTCTCCGCCGCCCCCGCCGGAGGAGAAGGCCGACCCCAACGTGAGTGGCGTGCTGGCTAAGGTGCTGGCGAGCAAGAAGCGGAAGGAGGCCATGAAAGAAGCCGTCGCCAAGCTGAGGGAGCAAGGCAAGTCCATCAACGAGCCATCTCCATGAAGTTCCTCAGCTCACCGACTCCATTTTGCTGTCATATTTGTGCCTGAGATCTCTGTCCGAAATATAATTTACATTCATGTTTGCTACTTCTGCAATAGACTTGCAAATGTATAGATCGGAAGCTTCTGACTTGTGCAAAGAAAAGCATTCTACATTCGACATCAAATCTCAATGGAAATTAAAACCTATTATTCGGTAGTAATATTTTGCTGTAATATTTGTGCCCTCAGATCTCTGAGAGTTGCTTAAGATTCATGTTTGCTGCTTCTGCAATAATCTTGTAAACGTATATACATCAAATCACTATGTAAATAGTGACCCTACAACTGTGTAAAATAATAAGATTAATTATACATCATCCCATATAATTAGTTATTTTTAGCATTTCGACCCCTACAATTTCGAAAGTTATATTGAAATTCTTATACTTACGAAAGTGAAATATTAAGATCCCTAAATAGAGTTAAAAATTAATTTTATAATATTAAAAATCAAGAGAAAAAGATTTTGTTGGAACAATGGAGTTAAATATTTTACGATTTTTGAAAGTATAGAAACTGAAATACTAAAAATAATCAACTCCAAATAATATTTATGCCTTAGATTGAATTATATAATTAGCTTGAAATAATATTTATGCCTTAGATCTCTATGTGAGAGTTACTTTATAATAGTGTTTTTTTTTTGTAAAAAATGCATTATATATATATATATATATATATATATATATATATCAGATTATATTCAGAAATCAGAAAACCACAAATCAACTCTAACAATTGGTAAGATCCTTTGTTTTATTCTAAATAGGAAGAGACTCTCTTTTTATGGATCCAATAAACTTATTGGATCATATGTGAATCATACATAGAGGGAACTAATCTATCTTGTATATGATACAATTCAATGCAATAGAGTGATCCAATGAGATCCCATCAACTTCTCGACTTGTATAGTTTTATGGCACCCCCACCACTTGCCAATTAATTGCCCTTTTTATGGAATTAAATGTTTCATAAAATCAATTCCTATTTGAGTTTATGAGTACATTTTTCCAAGAAGAGCTGGTATTTATTATTATTATTTTATCATAATCACATGATAATGAACTCTTAAGATCGAATTAGAATGCAAAAATTTTGGTAATAGGACATGTTGTTAGGTTTTGGGAGTGAGATATACATTTTTATGATTTCTTATAAATACTTAAATCTTCTAATATTCACATAAATTGCTTTAAAATTTTCATATAATTGTAAATAATTTCTTCTTTCGCCTTGCAGCACAGTTTTTGTGTCAACCTTTAAGAACAAAATAGATTATATAGTTTTTAATAATATGGTATATATTAGTTTTCGGTAGTGTCATTGAGTTCGAATCGAAATTGAGTCGGAATCGAAACTAAATCAATTGATGATTTATTGATTTGAATCCAAAATTTAATTAATTGGAACCAATGATTTCGATTCAGACTTGATGATGATTTAAAAAAAACTTAAATTATATATTTTTAATATTTTTTAAAAAATATTTATATTTAAAAAATATAAAATTTTAACAATTCAAATCAGAACTAAAATCATTATAATAGTCTTTATTTTAGCTTAACCCAAACACTATCAAATACATAAAGTTTGTAATTATCAAGGATTTTAATTCCCATGAAATGTTTTCAAAATTTTCATATATTGAACATAATTTCTTTCACCTTTAATTTTTAAGAACAATATAATTTGGAATATGTCATATTATTAAATTTTTGGGTGATATAAAATTTTCTTAATTATCCAAACTATTAAAAATACACAAATTCTGCAATTCTCAAGAATATTACATAAAATATTTTAAGAATTCAAAAATTTTCCCCCACTTTGTAGCACAATTTTTAAAGTACATCTGGTAGCGCGAATCTTGAAGTGTGTCTTGTGCTTCTAGCAATAAAAAGCAATGACGGGTGTGGGAGGTGGGCGTGGAGGGGACATGAGATCGGTGCCGTCGTCGCTGCCCTCCCACTTCCCTTCGATTCCTCCTCTCGCCGAGCGATCCGTTCGAACCCGACGGTATCAAACTCTCTCCCTTGCGACCCGTTCTTGTACCCTCGTGCCGATTTAAGAATCCCAGCAGTCCCATTCTTTGGCGTCCATCTCAGGCGCCGGGTTGAGGTGAGGCGGATGGCCGCGAGGTGCTTGATCGCTCCCGGCGGCGGTGAAGGCAGTAGCAGGATGGCCAGCAGCGTGGAGGTTCCTCAGTCTTTGGATGGGATCCGAACCCTAGCTGAGTCTGGTCGGTTCAAGGTATGATCTTCCCCCCTTATCTTCCTTGGAGTAGTATGATTTTCCCCGGCTGCTTCTTTTTTGGGAATCATAAGCTTACTGTTAATTAGAGACAAGTGAAAAACGACCAAATGCAGGCTGACTTGTTTCTCTATTCGTTATTCGGGCAGTAAGATTTGGCTAGTTAACACATGGGGCAATAACAGTTTATAATGCTTGGTGGCATCCTAGATCTAATTTAATTGAGTTTTACTTTAGAATCTATCAATTTACAAAAAAAAAGGAGACAAACACATAAGGCAACCAATATGTAAGCTTATAAATTATAGAGGGTATATTTAGACAATTAATATATTCATTTTGGAACTCCATATGCAAAAAGAGATCTAGGGAACTTTAGGGCGCACTTGTCACACCTGTCCCACTCACTGTATGTTGTTACCCCATTGTTATCTGGACAAAAATTCATCTACTTTTGTTTATCACACTGAATTTAAATTCCATTGCATTATTTTGGGATGCTTATAACTGCCTTATAAAAATCACATACGATGAAAGTTGTAGTGAATCTCTGATCATGATGCAGATCAGAGTTAATAACACTAGCATCCATATCCTATTATGAGCTCTGGAAGAGAAATTATCTGTTTTAACTATTTTGTAAGTTGAATTTGTGTAGGTGCAGATATCTGCAGGTTCCATTAAGTAGAAATCGAAGGTTGCAGAATTTAGCTTTTGATATTGGTCCCATTTAGCTTCTGATATTGGTTCCTGTGGTGCTGTTTCATGGGCTTTAGGGACGTCATATTGATCACTGCATGTCACCTGGAAGTTACAGAGTTTAGCAAAAGCATTACAATATTCCATTCTGTTAAAATGTTTGTGTTGACGAATGTCAACCAAAGGACCTAGGATAGCAATCTAGAATCCAGATGATATAACAATAGTCTTGGCATTTGAAGGCATCAATTTTGTTTATAGAGCAGGATATTGAAACCCCAAAACATGACATACTTTATCATTTAATATCAGAAAGCCTAATCTAACTAAAAGTTTGGAGTTATGTAGAAATTCAGTTCATCAACTTAAGAAAGCAGAAATGAATAATGAAAGTTCACAAGAAAAAAATTGGAGTGTTCGGGATAATTAATTTAAGCTTTTAAGGGGGCCCGGTTGTTCTGAGTCAAGATAAGCTGACACTGGTATGATATGACCTTATATAGGTCAATGTTACCCCAGTATAGCTGGGCTGACAGACCTCTGTTTTGCAGTGTATAGTTGGTATGACCTCATGTATTTATCATTTAAGAAATCCCATAACAATCAACATAATAACAACAACAGCAACAACAAGAACAACAACAACAACATCAACAGCAATTACAATAAGCCATAATGTCCCAATTATTTAAGGTTGGTAACATGGATCTTTCCTGTCCTTAAAGTTTTGCATAATGCAATTATTTAGTTAAATCAAGAGCATTCATATTAAAACTGATAAGAATGCAAAAAAAATCAAAGATTAAATATTAGATAGCTGATAGTAATAACCGAGCAGTAAAGTGCCTAGAGCTTAATGCTTGTTTCTTGCTTTGTGACAGGGATGGTTCTTGGATCAATTTGGAGTTCTTCATGATGGGAAAAAGCCTTATCCTGGAGCCATTTATACTTGTATGCCGTATTTTTCTTGCTTTAGTATTAGCTTGCTCTAAATAAATGGTGGTTTCATGTTTTGTTACTGACCACATGGTACCATTTTAGTAGAGAAGCTAGCTGAACATGGTGCAAAACTTGTGATCATAAGCAATTCTTCACGGAGATCATGTACAACGATAGAGAAGTTAAAAAGCCTTGGTTTTAATTCTTCTCTTTTTTCTGGTGCCATCACTAGTGGAGAGTTGACTCATCAATATCTTCTAAGGTCAGATTCCTGTTATTCTTGATGGTTGCAAGTTGATACATTACTGTTTTCCCACTTCTGCAGCAATTTAAAATTTAAATAATAACGAGATGTTTTGGACCTCTTGGTTACAGTGCCAGGTTTGCAGATCTGATAGTTTTTCTACATTTTTGCTGAAGGGTTTCTTTTTTCTGCCTTTGGACATTAGTTGACAAACCTAATGTATATTATTGTGATGGAACTTTTACAAATCCATATATTCTCCAATTGATTAAGATCTTTGATTTCTCTCTTTTATGCATCTGAATACTAAATACGAATTATGAAACAGAGCATAAGCTTATAAGATCAGAGTGTGATTGTTATTATTAGCTGACATTCTCTTTCATCGATCTTCCCCATATCATCTTGTGATAGTCAATAGATTTGGCTTTTCATTTCTGTATCAGTAATTCTCAACCTTTTAATTTAGGAACTGGGTGTGTTATAGATCATCATGTGTTTTTTTTGGTATTCGTGCTTTGCTAACTTATACATCCTTTGTGTTTCTTAAGGGAACCTAAATAAATTATGCAGGTATTTCCATGTTTGTAGGATTGGATTTGGGATTGGTTGGATTGGATTGAGGATAAAGATTGAACAATGAAGTAATTTTTACTGAAATTTTGAAAAAGAAACAAAGAAATAACCAAATAATTTTATGTACAAATAATACAGAAATATATGTACTATTAAATAAAAAAAAATTTCTCATTGCAGTAATAAACCAAAATAAAACCCATGAACATAATGGATTTTAAATCCAATGTTTTGCAGGTACGTTACCCATTCCTCCCCTCCCTCAATTACAATCGTTGTTCTTCTCTTATTCTCCTCTCTTCTCTCTCTTGTCTGTTGTGACAAAATCAATATCAAAGAGGGATATTTTTCACCCCTATTTACAACAACAATAAATAAGTAGTCAATGTAAGAAAGGTACAAAAAATTTAAAATGGATAACAAGATATGACCATGTTTGTATTATGTGACAGATACCTCAAAATTATACTTGGAAAACTTGTTAGCTTTTGGAACCAAAGGAGAATATGCTTTGCAGAACTTAAAGTTATTATTATATAAGCACAATATCTAGAGAAAGTCCCTCTCAACACCATCCATGTGAATGTTAATATTTAGTGATTATTAGTGAATATGAAATTGATGCAGAGCTTAAAGTTTATGGACAAGAAATCATTTATGGAGTACAATTCAATCATCTGTTATCATGAGCACTCTCCCAAGGTGTTTGTTGGATCACGATCCTAGCTATTAACTTATAGTGTAAAAATTTTAACCAATAAAGTCAAATCATCTATCCCTTAGAAGATGCAAGAATAAATCAATATATTTAAATCATGGTACACTACTGTAGCACTCAGGTTGTAACATTACAATAGAATTTATGCTTCGTATCTGATGATAACCAGCCACGAATCCCATGTTGCCCACAGATTGTAGTCTTTTGTTCATTAAAAATTAGTTAAATACTAGTGTTTTTAGTCATCCAACCCTTCCTTGACTTGATCTGTAATAATCTGCAGTTTAGCAACTGCAAACCAGTGAGAAGGAATCAATGGAATGATAGAACAGAATGTCATCTGTCTCTTTTGTGAAACAAGATGGACAGTAGAGGATCCAGACATTTTGGAGAGGAAATGAAAGATGGAGGATGCAATAGAATGATACCTTAGGCGTCCTTCGGCGTAACAGGCGTGAGATGGAGCAGGCGACCCGACGGAGGTGGACTTGTGAGAGAAGGGGCAACATCAAAGAGAAGAGATGAGAAAATTATGGTTTGAGTTTCTATTATATAATGACAATCTTGTGGTTTTAGATAATATAGTAGGGTGTTTTAGGAAATCAAAAAAATATATTAGCATTCCACAAATGCTCCAATGCAGATGCTACCTTAGGGTAGCATCCGCATTTGGACATTTACAATGTAGCATCCAATCCAAATGCGATTTGAAAAATGTTTACCAAACACCAATTCACATTTGAAATATGCATTGAGCCCTCAATGCACATTTTAAATGTGTTTCCAAATGCACCCTTAAGCCCTTGGAGTAGGTGTATGGCCACATGTCAGAATGGAATGTGGAATTGTGGATAACTACATAAAAAATTGATTGTACATGAGATAGGAGCATTTGCTGGATTGAAGAATTAATTAGTTGAATTTGATTTCTAACTATGTTTTATCGGTTGTTCAAGAGTAAAACCAAAGCAGATATATATTGCTTGGTACAAGAAATACACAGTTGTGAGGATCTAGTCACGTGAAAAAGGGAAAACATGAAATGAAAAAGAGTAAAGATTTTACCATAGATGACTAGAATGATAGAGATAAAATTTTATTAAATTGTGGAAGGGGAACAATAATAAAACAAAATGATAGGGAAAGAGAGACTGGAAGAAAAGTTGTTTATATAAATTAGATATCACAGACTGAGGATCAACAACCTCCAGTTAAAGGTATTATCTGAATAAGAATCTTATTGTGGATGAAGGGCTAGTGTATTGCATCTACTATGAATATCAGATAGTCTAGATTTATTACTAATTGCTAATTTTCATGGATTTTTTGAAATTGCAAACATGCTTGCGCATCTAAACTAGCTGCTACATTATTTCTCAACATTTACATGGATGAACAGACCAGAATTTTAAACATCTGAGAAGAGATTATAGTTTTTGTAACTTTAGCGATAAGACCCTTTTTAAATGATTAAAAAATTATAAAAATGATTTAGCAAATGAGAGGATATTATTATCACTGTTAGTGTCATTTCCCTTTTGTTATCAGGAGGGATGATCCATGGTTTGCAAAACTCGGAAAATCTTGCATTCACATGACGTGGAGTGATCGAGGTGCAATTTCTCTTGAGGTATGCTAATCTTCTTCTTTAAGATGAACAACTGAATTATCATCCCAAGTCCCAACTAAGGTTGTGTGGGTACTAGATTCTATGACTTTTATGTTCTTCATGATCATTAAACTTTTGCATGTCAAACTCGCATCATTTTAAGTGCATAAGTTGAACACTAAATTATCATCTCAACTAAAGTTGTGCTGGTATTTGATTCTAGAACTTTTATGTTCTTAGTGATCATTAAACTTTCGCATGTGGCAATCTGGATATTAGCTGCGTATGGATTACTCTTGGCTGTTATGCATCTACATTTAGTTGTATTGAAGGTTCAAAGATATCCTCTGAAGACTGATGATCTTGTAATTTACCTCCCTTGAAGCCCATGAAGAAGAAAAGGTGACTAAAAACAAGATTCGGAACTTTGAAATTTCTTCCTTTAATTATTCACATTCATATTGGTTGGTTGTTGCTTTATATTGGTTGCTTCATCACAATTGTTTTTACATCGACAGAAAAGAGTTAACTCAGAACTAAGGTTAGGGGTCTGTACATTAATCTTGGTTGGTTGGTGCCTTATACTGGTTGCTTCATCACAATTTCTGTTCAATTGACAGAAAAGAGTTAACTCAGATGTAGGGTTAGAGGTATACACTAATTTTTTATAGTGCCAATTGTGGTGTAACCATGATGTGCCAGTCCGAAGAGCTCACACATTATCTCAATTTGCTTAATTGGGAAATGCCATAAAATTTCTAGAACCTGGACAAAACATGCCGATTCCTTTTTTAAACTGTGACTCTAAGACTGTGATCGAAAAATAAAAGCAATCAAGCAACATAATAGTGAGAAAAGAAATCGAATGACCTGATTAAACAACCATCACCTTTTAAGAGAGTCCACATTAGTTAACAATGACAGAATATAGCTTGCATTCTTTTTGCTGATAAACCGAAGGCACATTTAGTAGATGCTTGTGATCTGACCTTACAGGGCTTGGGCTTGCAAGTTGTGAGCAATGTGGATGATGCAGATTTTGTACTTGCTCATGGCACAGAAGCACTTGGTGTTCCTTCCGGCGAATCACTACCCATGAGTCTTGATGATCTTGGGCAAATCCTGGAGATGTGTGCCAAAAGAAAAATTCCCATGGTAGTAGCAAATCCAGATTATGTTACTGTTGAAGCTAGAGCATTGCGTGTTATGCCTGGTGAAGTTGGCCCTATACTCTTATTGCGTGTAGATTTTATTGATATCTTTAATCTTAGATTAGTTTATTAACTAATTCTCTTTACCAATTTTTGTATCAATTCACTCTGAGCTCAGATAGCTTTTTACGAGTAATATTATCTCTTCCTCTCTTGTAGGAACACTGGCAGATAAATATGAAAAGCTTGGTGGTGAAGTAAAATGGATGGGAAAGCCAGAAAAGGTGACATTTTGCTAGTTATTATGTGTACTTACCCTTGCCTCAATTATGTAACTTGCTTCTTAACCATTCTCTATAGTGATGTAGAGGACATATATGCAGATGATGAGTAAGCAAAGACAATAGATAGGTTTAAGGTGGAACCACACAAGCTAAGGCGCTAAATGAATAATTTAAGGCTTCTACTTCATCATTTAGCCAGATGACGTATACAAGTTAATGTTTTCTTTTTTCTATGGGGCGGATTTTTCATAGAATGATGCATATGTGGCATATAAAGTTAATTCTGCTGGCTAAAGAAGTTAATTGGTTCTGTTGTTTTTGAGGTACTAATCACATCAATATGAATGCAGTCAATTGCATGATATTTTACTGCACTTCAAAATACACATGCTAGATTTCTACCTAGTGTTTACTGTAAACATGTTTGATTTAACGTGATGTGATTCCTGCTTCAGGTGATATATTCAGCAGCCATGGCAATGGTTGGTGTAGATGCATGCGATTGTATCACGGTGGGTGATTCCCTTCATCATGACATAAAAGGCGCAAATAAAACTGGGATTGCATCAGCATTTATCACATGTGGCATCCATGCCACAGAACTTGGAATTGGTACCTTTGGAGAAACTGCTGGATTCGATGCGGTCCAATCTCTGGCCCGCAAATATGATGCCTATCCATCTTATGTTTTGCCAGCTTTTACATGGTAGGAAATCCACTTTCGTCGAGTATCATGGCATCTTTGTTCCAGTCACTATGCAATTTGGGAGTCAGAATGGTCATAGTTGGGGAGACTTTGATACCACAATATTTATCAATAACAAGGAATATTGGTGAGCACATACACTTCATCGTTCAAGGTTGGTTCTTTCTTCAACTATGTTATTTTGGCTTATATTTTGAGATCTGTACTCTTTTCAAGAGGGACTTCCAAGCTTGTGGAACATGAAAAATATTTCACATCAATTCGATCATTGATGCTGTCCCGATTCTCATCTTCATAGACATATTTTTGACACTCATGATTTGCTGAAGTAGAACTGTCTTAGCAGTCAATTGTTGGCAAAAACGATTATTTCTTATGGGTCATCATTCTTATTGCTAAATATGAAAATATTGATCCTTTGAACCCCAAAAAGTACACAAACTTGCGTTGCATGTTGCCATTGGTCGTATGTGCACGCTTTTGATGATTCCTTGTTTCACAGTTTTATTTAATGTTCTTATGGCGTTGGATTATATTCGCTTTTTACTTTAGTTGGACATCCATCTCTATTTCTTTTCTCATTAGAACACTTGGAGCTTGCGTTAGAAAAAACCTGTGGCTTATAGCTAAATCTTCGTGGCTTCTTTGATCCCACGTATTTTGATTTGATGTTCAAAGAAACTCAATTTTTTTGGAAATATACATAAAAAATTGTATAATCTGTACCTTTTTAATCGTCCAAAATTATTAACAGATTAATTATCAATTATTTTAATTTATTATTTTTAATATCTTAATTTTTATATTTTTAAAAATTATATCGAGATCTTTATTCTTACGAATGTTTTGAACATAAAACATTAAATCTTGTTTCTTTTCGTCGTCGATTCTATCAGTAAAAATAGTATATTTATTATTATATATTAAAATAATATTAACATACGATTAAAAATATAATTTTGTAATATTATTTCCGTTGTTCAAAAGAAAAATAATATTGATTTCTTGACGTATTTTCATAGAAATTACATTAGAAGAAACTAATATTAATTAAAATAATATTATACAATTACTTTTTAATTTTATTTTAATATTAATTTTCGGATGCAGTATTTTCATCATCAAAATTAAGAAAAAAGAATTTAAATATTTTTAAAACTGTAAGATCATGATGTTAAAGATAATAACTGTAAAGATAATATGAAATTAGTCCGAAATTAATCAACGGCTGTTAGAGTTTAATTTTTTTCTTTTAATAAGAAATATTTTAGAACAAAACGTTTATATATTACCGCGTCTTATCCTGCTCGTCCCCGCCGCCTCAGGAGGGGAAGAAATGTCACTGCTTCCGACACTCGCTCCCGAAACCTTGTACAGTCTCCGCTCGGAACATTCCTCCTCGTCCCCGCACTTCTTCCTTCTCTCTCCAAACCGTAACCCTTATTCCCGATCTCTCACCTTCTCTTCACGAACCCCTCGGCGTCTCCCCTCCTCCCACGTCTCGGCATCGGCCGCTGCCGCCGACCCAAACCCTAAACGTAAGGCCAAAGGCCGTCGGCCGCCGAAGCCCGACCCACCGCCACAAGGAACCGAGGCCGTCGAGGGCGGCCCCGGTGCCGGCGATGCCTTCCCCACGACGATACCGGGCAAGCCGAGGCGCGGTCGCAGGAGCGAGGCGGCGGCGGTGGAGGACTTCGTGAGGGATCGGCTCGAGCGAACGTTCGCTTCGATACGGGAGCAGAGCGCGGGGGTGCTGGAGGGGAAGGAAGGGGTGCTCAAGGAGAGGAGGACCGAGGAGGGCTCGGAGGGAGAGGGGAAGGCGGAGGAGGAGGTGGTGGTGGAGGAGGACGATCCGGATTGGCCTTTGGATGCGGATGTCGGGTGGGGAATCAGGGCGTCGGAGTACTTCGATAAGCACCCGATCAAGAACGTGGTGGAAGACGGGGTAGAGATCGATTGGGAGGGGGAGATGGATGAGGGATGGGTGAAAGAGATCAATTGCTTGGAGTGGGAAAGCTTCGCCTTCCACCCGAGCCCTCTCGTTGTTCTCGTGTTCGAACGCTATAACAGGTGATACTCTCTCTCTCTCT